AATAATTCAATTCAATAATCAAAATTAAATTCATTATAAATAAGAGTTAATAAAAATTGTTCAATTGTAATCATCAAATATGAACTTAAAAACTATAGTATTAGTTTAATAGTTAATCTTAATTATTATATTGAAATAAAATATATTGATTAAAACTTGAATATTCACAAAATTTATAAATATTTAATAAATTTCATCTCTCAATACTAATCATATCAATTAATATAAAACATAAATGTATATAAATATTTACAAACAATTGTTGAATTGTATTATATGGTACAGTTTGTTTTAATACATTCAAATTACTGATTAATATTAATAGATTGCCTTTAATTGAACTTTTCATCTCTAATGAGTTAAAATATTTAATTTATTGTTTATTCAAATGTATATAATTTTTATATTTCATATTCATTCGCTTAATATAAGCGGTTAGTATTTTGCGGAAATTAAAATTAAAAAACTATTTCTGAATTCTTAAGCAATTATTTTCCGCACGAATAAGTCTCATATGAGTGCAAAATACAGAATTAGATTTTAATCTCAAATTTTTCTTACGATAAAAAGTAAACAAAAAATATTCTTCAAACAATTAAAGAAGATTTTAAACATTGCAACAAAATTTAAAATATGATTTGAATATCGTTTGTATATAAAGTCTAATTACACCCACATATCATTTAAATGAAATTATTCCGATTATATTGATAATAATATTAATACAAATAAATTAGTTACAATTAAATACAGTTGTTTTAGTGCTAAACGAGTGATTGTTGTTTATATAAACGCAATAATTTAAATAAGAATTGGGTCTTAAAGTTATTCAATTATAATATGATAGGACTGTTAAAAACAGATGAAAGTGAAAATTGTGTTCAATTAGCAATCGTTAGAAAGTGATCCAATAAGTGAAGCACTCGGCCACCAATGGTCGCACCCAAACCCCAAGCAATTGAGTTAAACCGCGCCCAATGTGTTTGGCAAATGACCTCAATTTAGTAGACCAGTGGACCTCCGAATTCAAATTAAACGCAAATCAAGTTTTATTTAAATGCCTACCTATTGCTCCAATTGCACCAAAAAGTATATAAAGACCCTTTCAATTAAAACAGTCGTCAATCATACAAACGAAAGTGAAACTCAACTGTTTCTCAGGGCTTACACTAATACAAACCAAAATGATCCAGGTAATCAGTCTGACTCTACAATGGATTATAAGTTTTTCTATTAAGTGCTCATTTTAGTGAATTCTTCATTTGGATTATTAATAAGTGCTTCAACTCTACAATTAATTGTCGATATTTTGTTTACTTAACCATAGATTTTATTGTTCGCATTATTCCCAATTGCTTTGGCACAGTATGGCCATGGATATGGAAACGGTGGTGATAATGGACATGGATATGAGCAGGTTAACATGGATTATTTATTTGTTTTACTTCTTTAAAACAAACTGTTTTGTTAAATAGTTTATAGAAGTTAAATTAAAATAACACTTAAAGTTTATATTAATTCTAATAGTATCAAGATATAATATCAAGTTTAATAAAGTATTTATTAACTAATTAGTTTTTAATTTCACTTGATATTTGAATTATTTTATAAGATTTATATTATTAACATATAAGATAAATGTATTTAATATTTAAACTGAATATAACATTTGTATGAATGGTGTTTCACAGCATTATGCTCCCCAACCCTACAAATTCGGATACGATGTGAAAGACCGTAAGTTCTATACATTAAAAACATTGGATACTATAAGACATTAACATTTAAAGTGCTTCAACTCTACAATTAATTGTCGATATTTTGTTTACTTAACCATAGATTTTATTGTTCGCATTATTCCCAATTGCTTTGGCACAGTATGGCCATGGATATGGAAACGGTGGTGATAATGGATATGGACATGGATATGAGCAGGTTAACATGGATTATTTATGTGTTTTACTTCTTTAAAACAAATTGTTTTGTTAAATAGTTTATAGAAGTTAAATTAGAATAACACTTAAAGTTTATATTAATTCTAATAATATCTAGATATAATATCAAGTTTAATAAAGTATTTATTAACTAATTAGTTTTTAATTTCACTTTATATTTGAATTATTTTATAAGATTTATATTATTAACATATAAGATAAATGAATTTAATATTTAAACTTTTATATTGTAAACATACTTACCACAAAGTGTCGTAATACGAGGGGTTGGGATGTTTAAGCCTATGCTACACTTTCTGGCATTCAAGATATGTAATTTTTGTAACCTATGATATTCTGTAATTGTAAAGTTTGTCTTTAGACCACGGATCAACTCTTCAACAGAAAGAGGAGGGCGACGCACACGGAAACAAGAGAGGTATACCATCATTGGTGTTATCTGTTAACAATTGCTTCATTAGATTTCATTTACAGGTAGTTATGGTTATACCGACGGACACGGAATCTACCGTCAAGTAGACTATGTGGCCGACAAAAATGGTTTCAGAGCCACCATTAAGACCAATGAGCCAGGCACCAGTGATGAGGGTATATGCTCTTCACAATTATGTTATTGAAATATAGATTCTGATCATATTTACTGATATATAGATCCCGCTGATGTCCACATTGAATCCAATGCCCCAAAAGTAAGTCAACTATTAATGAGATTAAGCTTAAAGACTAATCAAATGATTTACTATTTACAGACTGAATACCACTCGGCTCCTTATAGATCCCAGTCCTATGCCCAACCCGTAAGTCATATATGATTAAGTGGTTGGTATGAGATAATGAATAACTCAATTATACCGATTGCAGTCCTATCAGTCCTACTCAGCCCCGTCCTACTCTCGACACGATTCCTATAGCAATGACAATCATGGCTATAGCAGCGGTGGTTATGGAGATAATGACGGATACAAAGTCCTCAGCCGAGGATACGGAGGAAATGGAGGAAATGGAGGTTATGACAGAAGCCATTCAATCCCCGCCGTCTACTACGCGAAGGGATATTAAATGGACTGACATTTGGACTCGAGATCGACGACAACACAACTATTTGTAAATTATAGTAAATATATTCTGTATATCATTGACTATATATGAGACAAATTCAGTGCCAATTTTGTATTATTTTGCTATTTATTGCATTTCTCGCTCATAAACTCTACTCTAAACACATAAACTATTGTAATATTTTGTAGTTTATTATAAATATGTAATGATATTGTGATTACTCTTACGATTAGCCTATAATCAAATAAAACAATTTTTCAGCAATTCTTGTGTCAAACAATTATTTCTATGAATTCGTTGTTTCAGACTTTCCATTCATTTTAATCATTAAAGTTTTTTATAAAAGTTTTTAATGCATTATTAATGGTTATAACCAACATTACTGGCAACAATTTACAGTAATCAATATTTTGTTTTAATATAGACTTTAATACACAATCTGATATTATACTAACTGTAAATTAATGAACCTGTATGATTTATCAACTTTTCACAAGTTTCCATAGTATGGATTCCATAGGACACCCACTTTGACAGTAATGGTATTAATTAGTTGGAAATTTTGTGCAGAGATGGCGTGCACTACACGACAGACAGACACTATAAAAGGGCAGACATTGTCAGCTATGAGTCCTTTCCGTTTCCGTCTCTCGTGAGCCGTGTATCACATGTCCACTCATTGACTCGTTTGGGCCTTAATTGCAGTCAACACTCAATCCATTGAAACGACGAAATGATTATTTATAAGGATTTGATAACCGGTAATGATTTTTCACTCATTTGTATCATATTACACGATATGTACTGTAATTACGATTATAATGAATGTTACAAATGGTTGACACATATGACAGGCGATGAACTGTTCACCGACTCCTCCAAAGTAAAGCTGGTGGACGGGTGTCTCTTTGAAGTGGAGTGTCGGGTATGTCATGATTTCACTGCCAACCCATCACCATATGTCTGATCCGGTGTTTCTATGGACAGCACGTGACTCGAAAACAAGGAGAGATCGAAATCGCCGGCTTTAACCCATCGGCCGAAGAGGTGGACGAGGGAACCGATGATCAGGTGGAGTCCGGTCTGGATCTGGTGCTCAACCAACGTCTCGTCGAAACCGGTTTCTCGAAGAATGACTACAAAAACTATTTGAAGACTTACACGAAATCGTATGTTATTATTACCATTTGGTTGGCATTCAATTGATTGTATGAATGGTTAACAGACTTCAGGATAAGTGGAAGGAATTGGAGTACACCGAGGATGAGATCAATAACGCGAAGACTAAACTGACGGAAGCCGTCAAAAAGGTGTTACCAAAGTTGGGAGACTTCCAGTTCTTTTTGGGTATGTCTTATCATCACTCATGAGTGACCACTGAGTGCAGTGTCTAATGACTCGTTTGTGATGTGATTCCTCAGGCGAGAGCACAAATCCGGACGGAATGGTAGGGCTATTGGAATACCGCGAGAAGGAGGACGGGTCGGGAGAGACACCGATTATGATATTCTTCAAGCACGGACTCGATGAGGAGAAAGTTTAACCAATTGTCTGCTTATTTAATCCCAATTATTAGACTAATTATACTTTTGATTATTGGATGATATTTGTGTCGTTTTTATGGGAATTTATAATTAATTTTCTTTTAATGTTTCCAAAAACTCAGCAATTTATGAGAATATAATAAATAAATCTTGATTTTATTTTAATATTTGATGGACTTATTCATTGTGTGAAGAGTTTGCGTATTTGTAATCACTTTTAGTACAAGAATCGGAGAGAATGTGTGGAACTGTTGCGCAAAATCTGTGACATAAGAGCTCTGTCTGTCTGGCAAACAGTGAAACAGTAGTGGACTTTGGGTTCACTAATAGATGCGTGAAATGCTTAGCAATAACAGTACTCATGCTTTGCTCCGTTTGCGTCGTTGCCGTCAAAGACCTACAGTTGACTCATCCCTTCAGCAAAGGGAGGCTTCACTCAAAGGGAGTGTTCTTTGACTGAACTGTTGGGCACATCATGTCTGAAGAGATGCACAGAATGGCAATAGAATGCACTGATTGTCACAATTGAGACAACATTTGCCTCTTATTTAAGACAATGAGTCGCTTTCAGGCATTCAATAAAGCTTTCGATAGCTTTGAGATGAGAGACAAATATAAGTCAATGGAGAGATCCAGTCATTCCTTATCGGTATTCCTGTTATTCTCTACAAATTGATGACAATATAACTGATCCGTTGTGTTGTGGTATTAGTTTCACGACAGGGAAGACATCAGACGTCGTCTGGCATTAGATTCCGACAGCGAAGACATGCCTGGCGTCAGGTCTGCGAGGAAATCAAGTTTAATGAATCGTCTTCAGAGCGGACAGAGTTTGCAGATTTGTTTCATGAATGAGACCACAAATGACTCCATTCCTCAAGTACTTGACATTTTCTCACTTCTTATGTCACGTTTCGATAATTAAATTTATTTTTATTAAAATATAGGAAAACCAGAATCAAAGCAAAGACGAGATTCTTGTGGATAACAATTCCAAAGACACTCCACTTTTAGACAATTCTTATATTATGACAACCGATACAAACCCTCCAAAGACTAGTCCTAACAATAATAGCTCTTTGAATATCAGCGACTCATTGAATGCAATCAATATCTCAAAACCCAATATCAATCGACCCAATCATTTATTCACTCGATTAGGCTCCGGGTCTCTCGACCTCGAGACCTATAATTTATTCTCTGTTATTGAAAAGCCATCCAAAAAAGAATTGTTTAATGACTATCACTCTAAACTTCACACAGAAGCCAGACTTGCATTGGCACAGGTATGTCGCATAGGATCTCTATTTTTGCTATTATTTTTAATTAACATAAAAGAATTATTTGTATATCAAAGGTATATACAGTATATCTATTGTTTCAGATTAAAAAGATTGTGAAAAAACAAATTGAAGTGGAAAAGGATAGGAGTGCAAGTCGTTCATCAGTTTATAACCTAATGAATATTCCGAATAAATATAAATTAAGAAAAAATAAGTTATCTAAGAATTTGTTAAAGAATTTGAATGTTTCTCAGCTGCAGATTATTGTTAACGATATGTTTACACAAATTGAAAGTAAGTTGCTTTGTCTCATTTGGATTGTCTAATAGGCTATTAATAATAGCTATTAATTGATTTCAGGTCTGAACACAGAATTAATGCAAATACTAGTCCGAAGGGATGAGCTGTATATGGAACAGGACTCAGTACTCGTCGATATTGAAGATCTCACTATGTTTTTGTGAGTTATTGCCCTAATATTCACTTCATATTCAATATTCAAATTTATTTCTTATTATTGTTTCCAATTAGGTTTTCCAAGCAATAACAATTATTACACCAATCGTTAATTGTTTGTTCATAATAGTTAATTTGTTATTGTTGCTAATAATCATCACAATTTTTTGCAATTTTGTTATTTTTAGTTCAAGTATAAAGTTAAAAGATTTTATAATTTGTTTCTTATTAAACTCAACAGGAAATGCAATAAAATATCAAATGATTATATCGTGTACATTTTTATGTGTCCAACTTTTTTAAAATAAAAATTCAACATATTATAGAAGTCTTTCGAAAAGCTTTAATACTGTATGTCATACAGTGTATGATTACCTGTTTTTGAAACTCTAACGCGATTATCATTCATTATGAAAACTTATTAAATAAGCATAATATACTGTNTATACCTGTTTTTGAAACTCTAACGCGATTATCATTCATTATGAAAACTTATTAAATAAGCATAATATACTGTTCATTATTATACATTACTTAATTTTAAAAATATTTTTAATATTACCGTAGTATGTTTCTGTATTAAAACTATAGTATTGAACGAATACAACTAAATTGAGTGGAAATAAGTGCAAAAGCATCGAAACTGATAATCTCTATGGAAGTTATCTCAAGACAGACAACCAGTCGTTGACCTTTGGGTTAACCTTAGCCTTCACCTTAACTGTCAACTTGCTATGCATTATATGAATATTTGTTTTTTAATATGAGCAAAAAACTTAATAAATTATAAATTTCTGAATAAACATTTTAAAACATTGACGAACATTGAGATTGTGTTAATAAGTAAGTTATCGGCCGTTAATTTTAGTCTATAAAAGATTTGATAAAAACTTGTTATGAGAATTATCATACAATTCATAGCAAATTGTGGAATAAATTTAAATAATTTTATTACTAATTCTTTGGTTTTATCAATAAATACAGCATTTACTCAATTATTAATAGTGTAATTTACTAGTATACTGTGTAGTACTGTAGATATGTTTGCAAACTTTCCAATGCAAGTATATCTTTTGATAAGAATCAAGTGGATGATACCAAACAAACACAACCCATTGAAAACAAGTCATTTTACAATTTAAATCATACTTTGTATTATAACTTCTCATATTATTTGGCTTTAGTATAGCTTCAATTAATTTTCTAATCCACTAATTAATAATAAATAATAATAATAAATATTCATTATTTACAACTTTAGTTTTGTATTAGAACCAACTTTTGTTTATAAGATTTTGTAACAATTAAAAATATCAATTTAAATTAACTTTGTTATTATAAGACCGTATTAGATTAGATTAATTGTAAAATAACATATTTTCAAACATAACATTAAAAATTTTAAAAATAGAAAATATTTTATATCATAAAAATATACAGGTATCATATTAAAATGTATGGTCATCTTTTATATGAGACAATGGAAAGATTTATAAATTCAAGTAGAAAGCATATATATATATAAGTTAAAAGCAAAGCTAATTAATGAATATGATTAATGCGTTTCAATGGTTAGTCAATAATATATTAGTTTTCAACAAACATAGAAAATATTTGTTGGGATGAGTTCATTGAGACTGAAGGCTACACCAGTCATAAGGAATTTGATTTAAAAATTCCGTTTTTTGTTTGATATTTAGTATAAAGTAATAATAATATACAGAAGTTGACTCAAATTGTTTGATAATCCCTTTTATTTTGGTAATGAATGGTAGAAAAAAATATGTGGAGAGAGAGAGAGTATTATAGTATATATTCCGATATGAGATGAGTTTTAGTGTCAAATTCCTACTCTTGTCGTGTATTTGTGTAAAACTATTTCACTCTCACAGCGTATAAGAGCCCACATATTGCAAGCATTCAGTCATTTGGCGTTTTGGAGTCATTCAAGGTTTTAGACGATCAGAGACTGCATTCATTGCCTTCGCATCTCTTCTCCCATTTGGTCTCCCATTTGGTCTCTCATTGCAATCCATTCGTTGATCTTATAATCGTCGTCTACCCAAACATGAGTTCTGGTAAGTGATTGTCTTATTTGTATTGAATATGGATTCTTGAGATGAAGAAGCGTGTAATGAATGGATGAAATTGTGGTCATATTACAGAAGCGTTCGTAACTTTGGTCACGAATGACACCTACTCTATGGGTGCTCTCGTGTTGGCCCACTCTCTCCGTGAAACCAATACTCGGGCCCAACTCGTGGTCCTCATCACTCCGGGGGTTACCGATCACATGAAGTATTCACAACTACTCTTCCCATCGGTTCCAATCATTCACTAATCGGTTCTTTTAATTAGGAATATTCTGTCTTCGGTTTTCGATTTGGTTCACAGCGTAGACCTCATCCAAAGCACAGACACTGAGATCTTGG